AGTTATCTTAACTAGAGCTAATACAAACACTATGTTGGCATACAACAGTTTACTTTAATTGCTGTTTTCTTTAAAAGTAGCAGGAAGTAGCAGATAATTCTTTTTGCTTCTGAAAGAGAAAGGTTCCCCCTTTCATATGGTACTGATGATATCTCGGGAATGTACGGAAATCGTTTTCAAAAACTTAGGTAAAGTTAAAATTTTAATTCGGTGTACTTTCTTTTTTTAAGTGTTATTATTTAACAAGTTTTAATCCCATATACCTTAATAATTTTTTACTTATCATTCACTTCTATTTCCAACTGCAAGATTGAATTTTATCCATTACAATTACAAAACTAAAGGTAACGTTCATGTCTGTTTAGTTTCGTCATAGTAACGAGTATACCAATTGCAATTAGTTTCTTCTCGGAAAACATAATAAAATTAAAAGCATAGAGAGACGTGGTGTTTTATTCGTTATTCTTTTTCTCGTGGGATGGGTGTGAAAATGTGCATTGTTAACTGTATCGACTGAAACATCTGACGTACGAAAAACAAAAGACAGTCACCTACTGCTTGGCGACGAAATACGGACTTACGGGGATAGACACGGGTAATGCAGCGAGGTGACATTACCGGCAAAACTGGGCTTAAAAAGGGGTCCGTGATTTTTCGCTTTACGTCCTTATATTAGCATATTTTGGGCTGATTGAAGGGTTATTCGAAAGAGGAAGCTTGAATACATCCGGGGTTGGTCATAATTCAACGAGATCTTGTTAATATCTAATAATATGAGTGTCCAAAGTAGAGAAAAAATACGATAAAATACATCTGCAGAATCCAAGTTGTGTAAGTCACTATAAGAGTTTTATGACTCACACGATGGCCAGCCCCGGATGTATTGAACCTTTCTCTTTCAAATGAGCCCTCATTCAGTTCAAAATATGCTACTATAAGGACGAAAAGCGAAAAATCGTTAAGGCATTCCCAAAATCGAGTTCCGTCATTTTGTGGATAATGGTAGAGGAAGTCACGAACCAAATTTAGTTCAGGAAATCGGTATGAGATGGCGGTTACTGAGGATGACTGCTAACGTGAATATCGATACATTGCGACGTTGTCATTCTGGCATAACAGCGTCTATCCTTTCCTCACGCTGCGCTGTTGCCAATTTACTGAAGTCGAAATATTCTTACATTTGCCGACGTCGACAGAGCATAAGAACAGACAGCGGAAAAAGAGTAAAAGAAAACATTTACAAGCCTAGTATCATAACCAATTGTCATAACAATATCGTGCTTGGTCTCATTTTAATCAGGAAAACCTCACCAATATGTTAGTGAAATTTAAAAAAAAAAAAAAGATTAACAATAAAAAAAGTTAGTTTGTCGCATTATTGTTTCACAGATTAGTAGGCATTTAAATTTTTTACGATCACCTCGACTCTCACAAGGAATGTTTTTTAGGAATGTTTTTTAAAATAAAATATATGTATTTTTGTATTTTCGCCTGTTTCATATTTAGGAGGTGAAACGACCCCCTAAAGTTTCAGCTGCAGTAGGCTATCTCCGAAACTATCATAAATAAAAGAAAACTTTTTAAGAAAAAGTTTCATGTTTTCTATCTGCATATAAAATCTGACCCTAAATTTTGTAAAAAAAATAATTTGTTTATAACATTGAAGGGATCGGTTTGCGTGTGTTAATGACACAGGAGTTCGTCGGCGATATATAGCATTTATTTTTAAGTCGCTTCTGTCTCACTTGACGGATGTACAAAGACTGGTCTTAGGACCTTCGTCGTGGCAAATCGTGTCGCTCCCCTTAAAGGACACGTAGTCACTTTCTTCAGTGGGGGCACGAATTCGCCAGGGGTAGCATTCGTTGCCGAAGGTGGCAACGCAGCGGAATTTCCCTGGGCCCTAGGTCCACCGCGCGGACGGCTAACGGTCGCCTAACTTCGCGTCGAGGACCCTTAAAGAAACTCACGCTTTATGACACTAGCTTTAACTATTGAGGCCGTTGGCAAACTCTAGCTACGAACATGCTTTGTTAAAACTCGACATAACGGCTTTTCTCAAAAATAGCTTCGCTATGTCCATATCATAAACCGTGCTAGCCGTTTGCACGTTCGAAGTCTTTTCAAACATTTACAGCTAGCCGCTACAACATTATTTTAAAAGTAATTACAGTTTATATAATGACTACGAAGAACATTTTATCTGAATCTATTGATGTATCATATACTGTGTTTGCCTCTTCCATTTTTGCGCATTAATATTATACGTACATATTGTATGCATAGCGCAGATACGCCGCGCCGGATCGCGATCATGTCAAATATAGACGTACGATCATTATCTTTGTTATAGGTTGTAGCTATTGTTTTTCGCAAACAACACACATATATAATCAGGTACATGTTATACATTAATAAATTCAGAAAAAAAAATATGTTCGTTTTGTTTATTCTATAAACTGCGATTACATTTAACATAATGTTATAAACAAATTCTTTATTATAAAGAAATTATTTTTTGTATAAAATGTTGGGTCCGATTTTATATACAGATAG